AACCTAGCCTGCAGAATGAGTGGCATATCCACATGGATCAAAATTCCACTGGTTGATGAGGCTCCTTCTGAAATATTTGCAGCTGTTTTTCTTGGGATGATTGCAACCTCATTACACACACATTTTGTAACCTGCTTTTCTCCCTGATTAGGACCCTAACAAGCTTTTTTCATATAGTTGTTCCCTCCTCCACCTTATCCTCACAACAACAACAACCTTGTGAGGTAAGTTAGGGAGAAAGACTTTGACAGACCCAGCATCACCCAGCGAGTTTTCATGTGGACTCTTTCTGGATGATCATGATCCCAATCAATGCTCCCGCTAAGTTGTGGAGTCTTGTGAGCAAAAATTCTACTTTGTGAGCTCCTGGCATTGAAGTTGTGAGCGTGCAATTTGGCTACTGCATACATTAGTTTGCTCTGGAGCCATCCATCCTGAGCTAAGACAAAAATCTGTGAGCTGGAGGCTAAAAACCTGCGTGCTAGCTCACACTAACTGAGCTTAGAGGGAATACTGATCCCAACCCAATATCTTCAGCCTAACTTGCCTCATAAGGTAGCCTGTTTCTCAGTCATGCATTGACAAATGGTCTGTCTCAGTGGTCCAAACCTTTCTTTATTTGCAGGAAGAACAATGTATACGAATTCATTTCTGATGATCAGTTTAACTTCCCAAGAGAATTGCTCAGTACGGCCATGGGAGATAACATATTTAAAGAGGAAAACACTCTGGTAAGCAATGGTAGATATCCTCAAGGCATGCCTCATGATACATGGTATCTCTAATTCCTGGCTACTTCCCTTTAACACTCACAAGATCATTTTGTGAAGGTGGTTTGAAGCCCCTTCTCTGCACTTACCAGCTCCTCTGGGATGGCCAGCAGGCTTACGTAAACCCCGCCCCCCAACATCAGTTCTCTCAAGGCATCAGTTCTCTCAAGGTGGGTGGGGAGAAATCCAAGCAGCAGGAAGTAATGGAGGCACTGGCAGAGTGGGCTGTGCTCAACACCGGACCTGACAAGGGGGTGAGGCACAGTTCTAGCCCATCCAACTTTATTGTGAGCTGTCTCTCCAGCTCTTTGACGCCTGCAGTGGCCAGACATACACCTCTGGAGACACTGGAGCAGGGACAGGCCCAATGAGAGGACCTTACCAGAGGGCCAATCCTGCCCACTCCCAGTGCCTCATGGGGCTCCACCCCTTCCTTAGGGCAATGAAAGATCCTGGGGCAGACCCACCCAATGCTTAAAAAGATAGGCCCAGGGTAAGATGGGGGAGATGCACTAGGCCGCTCTCCCTTGACTGGGGAAGAAGTACTAGGCATGAGAGAGAGCAGCTGAGGCATGCACAGAGCACAACCTAGAAAGATGCTGGAGAGTACAGCTGCTCCAGACTCCAGTCCCCACGGGTCAGAATCATACAGTCAGTCAGCTGGAAGCACCCGATCACTGTTATTCATATATTACATTGTGTGGCTTCCTCTTTCTATACTTTTCATGGGGCCTGACTCAGAGAGTCCGTTACATTTTCAACTTCCTACACAGACTAGAGCCAGAGAGACTGCACTCATTCAGTCGGCAGGCAATAAACGATCTGTTTGCTTTTGCAGCTGATAGCGGGCTACAAATACTTCTCAATGCTGCGACATATTTACAATTAATCAGTAATGTTCATGTGATATATATTGCTCGGCCTGATGGCATCTTGTTGACAGTCCAATAATTTAATGTATGGTTCTCTTGCTAGCAAAGGATAATCTGAAAACATGACCATAGGTAGAATGGTTTCAGACAATGAAAAAATGAAATTGTTTGCTCATCTATGCATGGCTTTGAGTGGTGGTTGAGGATCAGGGATTTTTCATAATAGTATTGTGTCTGGAGATAGCTCTGGATTGAGCACTGCCTCCCCTGCTCACATTGCCAAAGCCTTACCTGGCTGTGTCCTTCCTGTTGCCCCCCCCCCCGAGGGGGGAGGTCAAAACAGCCAAAGAGCTGCCTCATCCAACAAGGCCAGCAGCAAAGCAGGGGTGAGGATGATGCCCGTGGGGCAGGCTCTAGAGCAGGGCAGTCCAGACAGAAGGCCAAGCTTGCTGGAAGCAACAGGAGGATGGGCTTGCTGTAAGGAAGGAAGAGCCCAGTAACAGAGACGTCTTCCACAGTGTCAAGTCTCCCCATACTTGCACTTATATTCCTTCGCTGCTTCCCCTTGTTTCCACAGATGTTTTCAGAGTCCCAGGTGCAAAAGCGCAGTTTGTTCCCTGTTGCTCCACAGCATCAGACTTCCCTGTTTCTGGGAATTCCCATGCTGCGCCACAAGAGGGGGCAAACAGCGTTTTTGCTCACAGGAGGGAGAAATTATCTGCAGAAATGAGGGAAAGCCACAGATGAACAGAAGAGCAGGCAGGGGGAAACTTGACACTGTGGAAAATTTCCCAGTAGCTCTTTGGCTATCCTGCGAGGTTACAAAGAGGAGGTAGAAGCCACAAAAGATGGGGGCAAAGACCAGGTGTAGGCAAGGGAGAGAGGTAATGAAAGTCACTGGCCTCTTAGGCCAGGGATTAGCCAAGGCACCAGCTGGGCAGAACCGAGCCTGGGATTGGATGCCAGTGTGGGAGGAGTGGAGGCAGCAGAGATTAAAAGATGAAAGCAGGGGAAGGCTGCGATCACACACACCAAATAATCCACTTTCAATCCACTTTCAGGGTACATGCAGACGGGCAGCTAATCCCGTCATTATGCCATCTTGAATTTTATCCCGATCTTTTAAATCCATGGTCGCACAACCAGACATCCCCCTGGTGAATCACCTTACCGCGCGCTGCCTCCATTGTGGATTGTCTAGATGGCATCCACTGAAGGAGGCATGCGCGGTGGGTTTTTTTTAAAAAAAACTTTTTGCGCATGCGCATAGACATGACAGCACGTCCTTGTTGATCTGCGCATGTGTCGAGATTTTTAAAAATGGCACCCGCTCGGGATGGTCTGACGTCAGACCACCCCGATGGGAGGATTGCGCGCTGGTGGAATGATCAGATGGGTGAAAGTCCGCAGTTGTCCCGCAGGTAACCGAAAACCCCAGATTTAAAGTGCTATCTTTTAAGTATGGCTCCGAAGTGCGGCAAATTGGGATGCCCACGGAAGAGGGACATTTTCAAGATGTGTGTGTCTGGACATTACCTTTAGATCTGTGAGGCAATCGTGCCTCGTGCGGATCTAAAGAGCCGTCTGTTCGGACTCTCAGTGTACTTTCTAACTGGATTTTACTGTGTGAACTGGCAAAACCCAGTTGGAAAGTGCACTGAAAATGGATTGAAAGTGGATTATTTAGTGTGTGTGATCGCGGCTGAAGAGAAGCAGGCTTAGCTCAAGGCTGCAAGAGCTGCTGCCTGGGGAAGAGAGGAATAAGGTGAAGCAAGCAACCCCCTGGACTTCCAGTCCTGACGCCTTGGGAGGATACAAGGCTCATGGCAAGATGGTGGACAGGTGACCAGGAAAGACTGTGAAGGAGTGCCACACATTAACAATTTCAGAGTCACACTATCACAAGATAAATGCACCAGGTCCAGCAGTTTCAAGTCCGCCATACTCACACAATCTATATTCATGTTGTATAAGTGATATGAAAGTAGAACATGCAAACTTTGACACTTCAGCTCCTATTATACTATCCTTGCTGTTGAGCAAGTCACCTACCATTGATAAAAGAGACAGACGTGTCTGGAATAGGAAATGGAATACTGCTGTTATTACAACTGGATTTTATCCGGCTGCACAATGCCTAGGTAGATTGAGGAGAATAGCCACTGCTTTAACAAATAATCTCAAGTGTTACTCATTCCAGGAGAGGGCTGGCCAGGGAGGGAAGGCACAGAGAGAAAACCAGACCCAGGGCAGTAAGAATGAATGCATGAAAGTGAACTGATTTACTTTGAAGCTGCTTGTTTAATTTCAGGTGTATCCCCTTGTTGACTTTCCTTATCCTGATATGGCTCTGGCATCACAAAGAGCTATTGCAGAACACAAGGCAGCTTTCACAAGCACATCTAACATTCTGCAGCAGGTATGTCAAAGGGGAATATGTATAGATGAGGGTTATAATATTTTCACCCCATTAAATTCTAGGAATATCAGAATAATAAAAAATAGAGAAATTACAGTACATTCCCAAACAGAGATACCCACTTCTAAATCCACTGCAGTCAATGGGACTTACATTCTCAATCTTACTGGACTATATACCCTCTCTTACATATAGAACCATTCCACCTCTGACCCTTCCCTCCCTATCCTTCTGATATAATTTATATCCAGGAATCACTGTATCCCACTGATTATCCTCATCCCACCAAGTTTCTGAAATGCTCACAATGTCTATGTTATCCTCTGACACTAAGCATTCCAGCTCCCCCATTTTACCTCAGGCACTTCTAGCATTTGTATATAAACATCCATAATTTCCCAGACACGTTAGGCCCCCAACTTTCCTCCTGTGACCTCTAGACCTTGTCAGGCAGTCAATATTGTTTATTACCTTTTCAGTGGCCAGTCCTACTCCATTTCCCTGTTGAACAATAACAGCTGCCCCTTCATCTCTTTGAGATGAACTATCCCGAACCAGAGGCATTTCATCTCCTGTCAGCTTTCCCCCAAGATTTAGGCTGCTCTGCTGCCTTTTCGATTTTAAGCACCAGCAGCCTAGTTCCTTCACAGGACAAGTGGAGGCTGTGTCTTTTGTACAGGTCCTACTTGTTCCAAAAACCATCCCAGTGCCTAACAAACTTAAATCCTTCCTCCCTACACCATCGTCCCCTCCACTCATTGAGACCCCTAATTTGTGCCTGTCTAGCTGGCCCTGCATGTGGAACAGGCAACACTTCTGAGAAGGCTGCCTTGGAGGTCCTGGCCTTGAGTCTGCCTAGCAGCCTAAATTTTCCCTCCAGGACCACACGACTACATTTCCCCACACCATTGGTGCCAACATGTACCATGACCACTGGCTCCTCCCCAACACTGTCTACCAGCCTAGACCATGCATACTGTCCACTACCTTCTGCACCAGGCAGGCAAGTCACCATGCGGTCAATATGCGGGTTCACCACCCATTTATCTACATGCCTAAGGATAAAATCACCATCTACTAAGAGCCCCCCACCCTCTTTGCCCAGGGATGGTTCCTTGCAGGGGTCATTTCATAGAAAAAGAGCTGCAGGAGCTCATTAGCATAAGGTATGCTAATGCGCTACTAGGTTATTAGCATAATAGCTTATTAACATATGCCACACCCCCTGACATCACTGGAAGTGACTTCAGAAGGGGAAGCAAAAAGGGGGAGAAGGCATCTTCAAAAGCCTCTCCTTCTCTTCCCTAGCTGGCCTGCGTGGTGGTGGGGAAGCGAAGAGAGAAGTGGTTTAAAGTTTAAACCCCTTCTCACTAGAGTTGGGCCACAGAAGGAGGAAAGAGGGAAGGAAAGAAGAAAGGAAAGAGGGAAAGTAAGAGAAGGAAAGAAGGAAGGAAGGAAAGAGGGGATAAAAAGAGAGAAGGAAAGAGGGAAAGAAAGAGAAGG